TGGTTCCCATGACTCTTCAGGACCACTTCATCCCTACCACTTATACTTCTCCCTCTTGCATAGTGATGCCAAATATCGCGGTCGCTCAATATGAAATCAAATCTAGCACAATTCAAATGCTTTTATCCTTCCATGGCTTTGATAACGAGGATCTCTATAAGTATCTTGATGAGTTTCTTGAAATTTGATCTACCATCAAAATGAGGGGTTTCCCTGAGAATGCACTCCACCTGCGTCTTTTTCCATTTTCCTTAAAAGATAGGGTAAAGTATTGGTTGAACTCCCTTGTTGTAAATTCCATCACTTCATGGGCTCAACTGCAGCAAGAATTTCTTTAGAAATATCATCCGGTGAGTAAAACCAATCAAATGAGGCACTCCATTCTTAGCTTTTCTCAAATTGATGGGGAACAACTCCATAAGACTTGGGAAAGATTACAAGATCGCTTTAGAAAGTGTCCGCACCACCTAATTCCAAAATGGCAATTGGTTCAAGCCTTCTATGATGGTTTAACCGAACCACATAGATTCATGGTTGACTCTTCAAAAGGAGGGATGTTCATGTCTAAGAATGCGGATGACGCTTCGACTTTACTCGAGAATTTGAGTGAAAATTTGTTACAACATAATTCTCATAGGGTTGTGATCTCAACCAATGCAAAGAACACCAATCCTTGTCAACCAAAAACAATGAGGGAAGAATCTTCTCAAGTGAATGCCATAGCCCACAAATTTTATCAATTGATGGCACCACATCTCTCCCCCTCTTTGTCTCAAAATTTGGCAAGTGTGGTATGTGCATCGTGTACTAGCCCATTTCATCTCTTAGAAGATTACCCCACACCGGAGCAATTTCCTAGCCCCAATCAAGAACAAGCAAATGCTATGTTCTCAAGGCCCGGAAATAATCCATATTCCAATACTTACAATCAGGGATAGAGAGATCATCCGAATTTCTCATGAAGGCAACAAGCCCCATAGAATTCGCAATTTCAAAATCAAGGGCATCAAAATCAACCCTCTTCTCAATTTCAAAATAGGCAATTTCAGGCCTCTTCAAGCTACCGTCCACCTTATAATCCAAATGTCTCTACTCAACCCCCTGTGTTTCCAACTGATGAGATTTTGGCTGCAAATAAGCAAATGATGGAATCCTTAAACAAGCAAATGATGGATTCCAACAAGCAACTCTTGACATCTTTGCAGCCCATTCTTTAAATGGTTCATTCTCATACTCAGTCCATAGCTAAACTTGAGAATCAAGTGGGATAAATAGCTAATTCCAAGAACCAATTACTTCAAAAGGACAAGGGTAAGCTTCCCGCTCAACCATTTGAGAATCCTAGAGGGATGCATGTGATTCATGAAGTTACTCCTCCGAGTGGGCCGAGTCATGAACATGTCCAAGCAATCACCACTCTTCAGAGTGGTCGAGTTGTGGACAACAAGGTTGATGGAAACAAGGATGACGAAAATTTTCCTTAAAAAAATCCAAATCCTAGCTCATCTAGTCCAAATTCAACTCATGAAAATCCCAAGCTTGTTACCCTAAATATGGAGACTTTTTATGAGCCTAAGGCTCCGTTTCCTCAACGTCTCTAAGAGTCAACGCATTTTGGGAACAAAAATTATAAAATTCAAGACATGTGGGAAATTTTCAAGCAGTAAAGATCAACTTGCCTCTCTTGGATGCTATTAAGCAAATCCCTCCTTATGTAAAATTTTTAAAGGATTTGTGCACTCAAAAGCACACTTCCAAAAATATTTTGCTAAAGAAAGTAAGATTAAGCCAACTTACAACTTGGGTTGGGAGATCTTAAGCCAACTTCCATGGTCTTGCTGCTTGCCAACAGATCGGTTAAGTATCTGCAGGGCATCCTTGAAGATGTTATAATCAAAGTGGACAAATTCTACTTCCCGGTAGACTTTGTGGTTCTTGACATGGACCCGGTCCATGACCCAAAGAAGCATATTCTCGTGATCCTCGTTAGGCTATTTTTAGCTACGACTAATGTTTCCATTAATTACCGAACCGGGGTGATGGACATAGCCTTTAGAAACATGCAAGTCAAGAGTATAAAGAAGCTATTGGTTGGGCAGTGGCTGATTTGAAAGAAATTGACCCCTCTATTTGTATGCATTGCATTCATATGGAGGATGACGCAAAACCTTCTAGAGAGGTCCAGTGCTGGTTGAATCCTAACATGAAGGAAGTGGTCATGAAAGAAGTGATCAAATTACTAGATGCGGGAATCATCTACCCCATCTCTGATAGTAAGTGGGTAAGCCCCCTCAAGTTGTTCCCAAGAAATCCGGCCTCATCGTTGTTAAAAATTCAGCAGGAGAACTCGTGCCACAATGCGCCACCACTGGTTGGCGTGTGTGCATTGACTACCGAAAACTCAATTCTAACACTAGGAAGGATCATTTTTCACTCCAATTCATTGATCAAATCCTAGGAAGGCTAGCTGGCCAAAGCTACTACAATTTTCTTGATGGTTATTCTGGCTATAACCAAGTGGTAGTCGCCCCCCAAGATCAAGAGAAAACAACTTTCACATGTCCCTTTGGAACTTTTGCCTATAGACGCATGCCCTTTGGGCTATGTAATGCACCGATAACTTCCCAAAGATGCATGATGTCGATATTCTCTGATATGGTTAAAAAGTTCTCAGAAGTTTTCATGGACGATTTCTCCGTCTTTGGCTCCTCCTTTGACTCGTGTCTCCATAATCTATCCCTTATGCTTCAAAGATGCAAGGAGACGAATCTTATTCTATATTGGGAGAAGAGTCACTTTATGGTACAAGAAGGCACTGTCTTGGGACATGTCATTTCAAAAAGGGGAATTGAGGTTGACAAAGCCAAAGTTGAGTTAATCTCTAACCTTCTTCCTCCAAATTTGGTCCGTCAAATCCATTCCTTCCTTGGCCATACCGGTTTCTATCGTCGCTTCATCAAGGACTTTAGCAAAATTTCTCGGCCCTTGTGTAATCTTCTTGCCAAGGATGTTCCATTCAATTTTGATGAAGCCTGCCGGAAGCATTCATGAAACTTCGTACTCTTCTCTCATCCGCCCTAATCATGAAACCGCCTAATTGGTCTTCTTGGATCCAAGGTCATTGTCCTTTCAGATCATATTGCTCTTAGGCATTTGCTCACCAAAAAAGAGACCAAACCCCACCTAATTATGGATACTCTTACTCCAAGAGTTTAACATTGAAATCCGGGATAAAAAAGGGACAGACAATGTTGTCACTGACCATCTCTCTCATCTACTCATTGAGAAATCCTTCAAATTTGTTGTAGTTCGTGATTCCTTCCCGGATGAGCAACTATTTCAGATTTCTCATTCAAGCCTCCCTTGGTTTACGGATATTGTCAACTATCTAGCGGTAGGAAAAATTTCGTCCAATTGGTCAAAACAAGAGAAAGACTGGTTCTTTTCCCAAGTCAAAATTTTCTTTTGGGAAGATTCGGAGTTGTTCAAATATTGCCCGAACCAAATCATTCGGCGATGCATCCCTGAAACTAAAACCACAAGTGTCCTAAATTTTTGCCACACTCTTGCTTGTGGGGGACACTTCAGTGCCAAAAAGACCGCTAACAAAGTCCTTCAAAGCAGATTCTATTGGCTGTCCTTGTTTAGGGATGCTTACAACTTTTGCAAGTCATGTGAGCATTGTCAAAGGCTCGGATCCATATCCCGAAGAGACATGATGCCCCTCACTCCCATCCTAATTTTTGAAATTTTTGATGTTTGGGGGATCGACTTCATGGGACCATTTCCATCTTCATATGGCTATGAGTATATCCTTGTAGCGGTGGATTATGTTTCCAAATGGGTTGAGGCTGAGGCTACCAAGACCAATGATCATAAAGCCGTGATTAAGTTTATTCAATGCAACATTTTTAGTCGTTTTGGTACACCCCGATCGCTCATCAGTGACGATGGATCTCACTTCTGAAATCGTTATCTCAACTCCGTCCTCTCTAAGTACTCCGTCATTCATAAGGTTGCCACACCTTACCACCCTCAAACAAGTGGTCAAGTGGAAGTATCCAATCGGGAGATTAAGCATATCCTGGAAAAAACGGTTCGACCGGACTGCAAAGGTTAGTCATTAAGACTAAATGATGCGCTTTGGGCCTACCGGACAACTTACAAGATGCCCATTGGCATGTCATCATATCGACTTGTCTTTGGCAAAGCTTGTCATCTCCCAGTTGAACTAGAGCATTGTGCGTATTGGGCAATAAAAAGGCTCAACTTTGATCTCAAACAAGCCGGATCTACTCGTAAATTGCAGCTCAATGAGCTTGAGGAAATTGGAAATGACGCGTATGAAAGCGTAAAAATCCCTAAGGCAAGGACTAAAGTTTTTCATGACAAGCACATTGTCAACAAGTCTTTTGCCCCTGGACAAAAAGTTTGGCTTTCAATACTCTCTTGAGACTCTTTCCTGGTAAACTCCATTCACGATGGGATGGTCCATATATCATCACTTCCGTCTTTCCTCATGGTGCAATCGAACTCCAAGATCCCACCGATGGATCTCTCTCTAAGGTTAACGACCAATGGCTTAAGCCTTATGTTAATGGCATAGTCTCTATCCACAAATCAGAGAAAGTCCTATTAATGGACCCAATTTACGAGGACTAATGCGCGATCTTAGTTCGTCTAGCTATCGACGTTAAATTTAGCACTCGTGGGATGAAATTTTTTCAACTTCTGAGCTTCCCTCTTCCAACTTGCCAATAGTCAATATCTTTTTAGAAATGTGCTAAGCTTAACCAACATGTGAACTCTTTAGAATTGTTGGCGTTCATATTCGGTTTTCTTAGTCGTTTAAAGGTCTCAGTACTATTTCCAAAATTCTTCAAGGTCATTCCGGCATTTTTCTCATCTAATCCAAAATTCAGATGGCATTCGGATCTATGGATTGCTGCTTTTGTAATTATGTTCTGTATTCTTTTCCGGGGGTGTTGCAAAATGTTCAGGGTCCATCAAACGCCTCCATTTCAAGTTTGGAAAGCGTCGATCCCATCCCGGCCTTTGTAGGCTATAATTTGCTGCAAAAGGTAGCTTCTGGAGTAGGCCTGCGGGTGCCCACCGCAAATCCGCGGGCGCCCGCGAAAGCAGGTAGTAGCATCCTAGCAACCGTAGGCGCCAGTAGTCCCCTTCGCAGCATCATAAAATGGGCTCCAAAGCCCATTTTCACTTTTTAAAACTCTTCCTCTTTCTTAACCCCTGCCCCCAAAGTCCTTCAACCCTCCAATCCATCACTCTTCTCCTCTTCATTCCCCATCTATATCCTTCTTTTGGCAATCCTTCCTTCTTCCATCTCACTTTCACCCTCAAGTTCCTCCATCATTAAGCACAAAGGGCTTTTGGTTCCACCAAATTGGGTAAGCTTCCTCTACTCTCTTTTTCTCTAAATTTATGATCAATGGAGGATGGGATTGATATTATGGAGGATTTGCAATTGTCTGGGGATCTATCTTGTTGATCGCAGGTCCAAAATTTTTGGATTTCACATTCTCTAATCCCTTGTGTTTCTTTCCCCAATTTTTATGAATGCCAGGTATTCGTAAAAATTCGTGAGCCAACAATTTTCACTCCAATGGCACCCAAAGCATCTTCAAAGCGTGCTCGCTCATCCGAGGGGCCTTCTAATGTGCCTCCCACGGCAAATTGGGCTGATTGGCCAATCGAAACCGAAGCCAAATTCAACATTGAAAATGGTTTCAAAAATAATCCAGAGACGGCATGAGTAGTCCGTGAATTAAGGGGGCGTGGCCTTGAATCTCTTTTTAAGCCACGTACTAGTGCTTACTATCTGTATGTGGTCCGCCTGTTTTACTCAAACTTGTTCCATTCCTATACGAAGTCGGAGATCATCAAGACCACCATTAATGGCAAGGCTTTCGAATTTACCCTTGATGATCTTGCTGCGGCTTTGGCTTGCCCACAGGCATTGCCGGTGGATAATACGGGCCTGCCCCTATATGTTGAAGCTCCAACTCAACTGTCATTATTGGACATTGTGGGGGAGATTTGCCACAATCAATACACTGGCAATCGAACCACAAGCACCAATAAATCATTCTTGTCGTGCCGACTGTGGTTTCTGGACTAGGTCCTAGCCAAAAACGACCTTCTTGTGCCGGGCCATTCCGAGCGTAAGGAGATTTTTCTACAAACCCTCTATGCCGCTAAAAAAGAGCATTGGTTTTACGTCCTGCAGCTTGTCTGGGACCAAATCCTTAAGATTTACAATGAATTAATTTTGGTCAGGTCGAGCAGCGCCATCACTTGGGTATTTCCATTTCCATATCTTGTCACCTGGCTGCTAAAAAATGTAGGGTTCAGGCCCCCGCGCCATGAGGAGAAAAAAAAAGATGTGTTTGATTACACTCTTTGGGTCTGGAAGTCGAGCACTGTCCAGCTTAAGACGTCCCGTCAGGCCCGCATTGGGGATGCGTTGGATTGGGGTGCGCCGGCTCCCCCTGTTCATGATGCCCCCGCTGCTCTAGCTGCCCCTGTTGCACCACCTCCGCCTGTCATGTCCCAAACTCATTATTATAATCTCAGTGCTCACCTTGATGCATTTCACATGCGCCTCGAAAGTATAGAGAACAGCATTAAGGTGACTCAGGAGAGTCAGCAGGTTTTGAAAGACAGGCTCTAGACATTGATTGATTGTGCACCCGGCACGCTTCGCGGTTCCTCCTCCATTCCGATGATGGAGTGATTTCATGATTTTAGTTTCTATTTTTCTTTCTAGTAGTACTTTTTAAACTTATTTTGGGGCCGTGTTTGGAATTTACTTTCCAATTATTTATTTTGAACTTATAACTGCACCTCTTTTACTACTTTGCATGGATTCTACTTTTTAGAAAAATAAATTGCAGTTATTTCTATTCCTTTTTGTTTGGATTCATATGATGTTTGTTGTGTATAGATCTCTTTTGATAGGTTTTTGAAATCGAGTTTGGGGGCATGCTCCCGGAATCCACGAAATGGCTTATTTTTGCACCGCCACTGAATTTCCTCCTTCACTTGGTATTATTGTTCTATGTACCCTCTTTTCTATTCCTTTTCCTTCTTTGCCTTCTCGTATTGGGGACAATGTGACATTTACGTTTGGGGGTACATTGTTGCATTTTTGATATTACATTTTTGCTCGGATGACCTTAACTTGATTCATATAAGTTAATAAAATCATTTTGTTGGAAGCAATGATAGTGTAATCATGGGATTCATATGAAATTGAACATGTGTTTAATACTTTGTGTATAGAAGGCAAGATAGTTTTGAAAATAAAAGAAAAATCTGAAATGTTCATGTTAATTCACGTAGGTTTGTATAAATGCTTCAATTAGATTTTCGTCGGAATTCTTACTCTTTTATGCTTCACACTGCACAGATGCACATCGGAAACCTAATTGTGAGGTATGCAACCTAATTGACCTTGACCATGACTCAGTTGATTTGAATTGATGATCCTAATGAATGGATATCTTTGGCATGAACTTCTAAAAAAAAAGAGAGATATTGAATAATGAAAATGACTAGTTTATGTTCGTAGCCTTACTGACTCAAGTTATTAATCCTTAGGAGTGTCTTCACACTTAGCACACTAAAACCATCTGGTTTGGGAGTTGCTGGCCTAACACTTGCTTCATGGGTTAATTAGAAACCTTAAGGGACTTAGGCATTGCACGGTCATTCACAAAAAAATAAAAAATAAAATAATTATGGTTAGTTGGAGTTCGTAGCCTTGCCAACTTGAGTTATTAAGCCGTTGAAGTGTCTTGACACTTGGCACCCTAAAGCCATCTGGTTTGGGAGTTGCTAGCTTAACACTTGCTACATGGGTTAGTTAGAAAGTTTAAGGGATTTCGGCATTACACAACCATAATATATATATATATATATTGTAGTTTGAATAAATTCATGCCTTTGTGATCTCATTTAAAAGGAAATTCAAAGATTTGAAGACTGGTGTTTTGAAATTGGATAGAGAAGGTAAAAGCCACATATTGGGAATCCGGTTTACTTTAACTAAAGCAAGAGTTGAATTCTTTTCAAGAAATGACAATTGAAGTGTTTATACAGACTATGATGATTGATGCATGAAAGTTGAAGTGTGTTTGGCCATTTTGTATAACAAGGCTTCATATATGTAAAGTAGTCTGCTTAATGATCCTGTCTCCATTATTCTGTATGTTCCAAGTTATATTTGAGATTTGTACTGCATGTTGATGGCATTTAAAATGTTGTCATTTTTGTTAGGTTTTGTATTTTGGTTTTGCTATGTGACTAGCAAAATGTAAGTTTAGGGGTGTGATAAGCACCGAATATTGCATATTCAAGCGCCCTTATTTGCATTAGCTAAGTCCATTTAGTTAATTCTAACGTACATTTTAGCTTTATTTTTATGCTTCAATCTTTTATTAGGTTGGTTCCCCAAAAATGGTTATTAGTGTGGTTTTGACGATTTCTTGAAGAATCAAAGTGCGCTGTTGCTGGAAACTGCCATTTTAGCCAAGCTAAGGGATTCATTGAGCTGATAAGATTTACTGCACTGCACATAGGACAAAGACCGTGTGAATGGGCCAATCCAAGATCAGTAGAAGACGAAATGGTGAAAGGCAAAAGTAGTAGCGCGGGCGCCCACCAATCACTCCAGTAGTTTCTAGTCGCCGCGGGGCCCCGCCGTGTCTCGTGTGGCCCCGCCATCAAGCATTGCCGGTGCCTGCCACAGATCTGCGGGCGCCCACCAAATCCTCCAGTGGCCTCCTTCGAGATTCAAGCACCCGCGAGCGCCTGCCGATCTATAGACAAGTGGGTATGGCTACATTGTTTCTTCTAATGCTGTCCCCTTGACCCTTTTGTGTTGTCCTGATTGCTCTTAGGGTTATAGGAGGCACGAAAATGGAGGGAAAAGGAGGATTGAGTGGCTAAATAAGGAGCTAGAGGTTTTGGAAAAGAGGATCTCATATTTTTTTAAGGTTTAGAGAGAGAAATATTGAGTGCTAAGTGTGTGGGTTGGTCTTGACCCTTAAGGTACGAAAATAGAAGGCCTCATCTTCTCTTCTCCTTCCTTCATTACTCCTATGGGTAACTAACTCCCTTTCTAGGGAGGTGATGAAGCCCATCCTTGTAAGCATGCTTTAATTTTGATTTAGTTTGGGGAATGAAATGTATGTATGGGCCAAGTTTCATAATCTAGAGCATTTTATAATGGGTAATGAATATTATTTTATATAAATGATCATGTTAAATCAATTATCTTGTCTTACATTATTTGTTCTCATAGTTGTATGGCTAGCATTTTCATAGTGACAATGGAAATGGGATTATGAAATGGTTTTAATGGCATGTTTTATGAGAAATTTGTTAATCCATAGCTTAGGGATTCCTTTTGATTGGTTAATCTTGTCTCTTGACTCCATGTGCTTTTATCATTTGATTGAGGGCTTGATAATCTCTAGCTTAGTGAGCATGTCTATGGCTACACACTAGTTTAGGTAGTTCAAGCATGTGAAGCTTTGATAGGTTATTCTTGCCTTATGATTTAATGAATTTCTTGAAGATATTGTAGCAACCACGTGTTGCTACATATCATGGTCACATATGTATATTATTTCTCCAAATCAATCATATATTAGCATATCTAAGGGGTTGGAGTGGATTCACTTCCCTAGTCCTTTCTATCAAAATTTCTTTCCTCTAAATTTCTTGCACATTATTGTTTTATGAAATTTTAATTTAAGTGACAAATCAAATACAACTCTATACCCCTTTTATGAAACCAAAAGTGAATTTAACGACCTTGGTTGCCATAAACTAGCAATCCCAGTGGTTCGACTTACCCGACCAATAGCCCTATTTTACAATGATTTGTGGTATTGCAAAGGGCTGATAATTGTTGTGATAGTCGATAACTGATCATCATTCTTCGGTTCATTACAGGACACACTGGCTTGAAAAACCAGGGTTGTCACAGGTGGAATCAGAGCTCATAGGTTCGAAAACCTTAGGACGACGGGTTTTGGGTGCATATCATGCTTGTGTTGCCATGCTCTATGTGTTCAGTTGCTTCTTGATAACATGTTTACGCGCTTATGTGTACGTATGTTTAGAGGTTTACTTAACTGTCTCAGCATGATATACGTGCTTCTTTACATTATCACATTGCATATACTTGTCTGTTTTGGCATGTTGATTTATGCTTGTCAGTTTAGCATGTGGGTTATGCTTGTCTACTTTAATGTATTGCATGTACTTGTTATTCTTAGCATAATAGTATGATGCATACATTTACATGCCTTATGTGATTCCTTACTACTTGTGTAAGTATGTAATTCATTGTTATGTTACGCATTAACGATTTATTTTGTGTCTTGTTTAGGCATTGCGGGTTATCCCAGCTTGGTTGGTTGAGATTGATGCTAGGGTATCATTTCTTGGAGTTTTGTGGTGACCTTGATATGATGACGTCATTGGGGTCTTGTTTCTAGCGTCATGGGATGATAGGTCAGATTGACTCAAGTCCTTCCTTGGGGATTGGAAGTTTTGTTTTCGTGAGCCTCAATGGCGAGGTCCTCGCGCCTCTTCTTCTTAGAGTGATGGTTGGAGATTTGATAGGTGCATTAACCTAGGATTCTTCTTGTCTTGCCTTGGACAGCTCTTACAAGCTAAGGTTAGGGTGTGAGTGGTTTCGTGTAATTAATTGCATTGGTGTAATTAATTACTCTCCCTCGTCCTTGGAGACTTGGGATTTTGTGTTTATGGTTTCGATAGGATCCTGTAGAGTTCTCATCGAACTCATTGGCATCTTGAGTTGAGTCCTCTTATTGGTGTCTTATAATGGTTAGTATTAAGACTATTCATGCATCATTGTTTGTTTTATGTGGCGTTAGGAGTCCACTTTGTATTGAGCCAGTCTTAGGAAAGACTTGCAGATTCTTTATCTCGGGAATCTTAGTGTTCATTCTAGGAGATGATTCATTTCCTTGCGGTGAAGGATTTGACTCATTTGGGTTTTTGGGATTCACTTTTAGTGAGTTTGTCCTTTTGAGAGGCATTTCATCCCTTCTTACTTGTGTTTTGTGGGATTGTTATTTGTATAGTCATTCCTACATGTTTATATGCCCTATTGTTTTGAGCATGCCTTAGAAACATGTTAGGGGATGTGACTATTTGGTAGTTATGTGATGATATACATGATGAGTTTTCATTTATTATATTTGCTCGTCATGCTAGCGTCATAGGTGATGTGTAGCATTTCTCTGATGCTTGACCCCTATGTGACAGGTAGCATATTTGATCGCCCTTGTATACTATGTGTTTAGTTATATGGTGCGTGGACTTTTATTTACATTTAGTATACTTGTACCTAGTATGCTTGCACGTTGTTTATTTCAATTCATTTTGGTTTAGTATACCTGAGCCTGTATACTTGTCTACCATGGATTTAGTACTGCTTAGTATACCTGTGGATGTATACTTGTACATATATATTGTATTTTCATTTCAATATTTCTTGGAATACTTGTGAATGTATACTTGCATATGTATATATATGTTTCATTACCAATTGTTTTATTAGTTTATTCCTTTTTATCATTCCACACTGTGCTTGGGGTTATTTGACCTTAGTTCTCAGGGTTATGTGTGTGA